GGGAAAGATCGTGTTCCTTCTTGTAAAACCTCGCCAAGAGTCTCTGAAATTTCAACTCTTGTACTGCTGTATTTTGAGAATTAAAATTTGGATTTCATTAACTTTTTGCTGGAACTTTTAATGTCCTGTTGTCCAGTCATTGCTATGGCTCTATTGTATGTGTAGGTTAGGAGGAAGACATACGACGTTATCTTGCCTATATAGTTCTGTATTGTAAGCTCTTGCTGAAATAAACCTAATAGCTGTGTTAAACTAAAAAATCGGACTTTTTGCACACTCAAGCACTTATCCTTAGGGCCAAATGCTAAATGCTTTCTAGGCTTCAGGCAGCCGCATGCCTGTCTGCACACTTAGTATTTTTAAGTTTAAAGTAGGCTTTTAATTGCCCCTTCAAGCACTTTGCTTAAATGATGTAATAATAACTGTAATTCCACAGAGTGAGGGATGACTATACCATGAGGTCTGAGAACAAGGCGTGTAAATTATGTAGATAATTTGGCTAAGGTTTGAAACATAGAAATGTTGCTGAGCTTTAAAAACCCAGTACTGAGCATCTGCATTAAAGGAGCACTATCATGCTGACGTTGTTTGTGTCTGAATGTTTTTGTCTGTTATTAGTACCAGTTTACTGTGAGTAAAAAGGTTTCAAAAATACAGACATTTATTATTATGTTTAAATGCTTGATTTGTATATTATAGCAACACTTCTTTTATCATCCATTTCAGTGTTAGTCCCTGTAAAATTAGTATTTTTTTGTATCTGTATTGTTTCTTTAACAGAAGAATGTGTGTGTGAAAAATTAGAAGGTTTTCCATAGCGTATAAGTTATGAGGCTGAACGCAGACTTCAGTTTTGATTTATTACTTTGTAATATCCCTGATTGATGAAGGCAGTGTTGGAATATTCTTTCTTCCTCTTCTTTTGGAGTGATAGAAGTTTTAGTGATCAAAGTTATGCTGCCAAATGTCAATGGAGAAATAAGTTGTAAATTAAGTATGTGTTGAAGCTCTGTCTTCTCTGAAATGTTGATACTTTGCAGAATTGAAACAGCCCTTGAACAATTAGTCTCCAATCCTTTAAATACTTACGTATGTGTTTAACCTGACTCATGTTGAATACGCCTTTTAAAGTTATATGTGTAAAGTTAAACAAGGAGAAAAATATTTGCAGGATTAGGTCATTTTAAACATCTCCTGATTCACAGCAAAAATATTCTCTTATTGGCTGAAACCTGTTCTACAGATATACAATATAAAGTTAAGATATGCTTCAACGTAGATCTGTTCACGTACTTTCGAAAATACATTGGTTTGAAATACTGAATAAATCATTCAAAAGTCTTTGCTAGGTTATTGCCAAGATTATTTAACATAGTGATCATTTAAATTGTAAGTTGTACCAGATAAGCTAAAATTTAACCTATGACTAGTTAATTAGAAAGGCAGCGAAATGGGGGTAATGCAACTGTAGATGACTAAACTGCTTTTAATGTTAGACATGTTAGTAGAGCCTATCAGTTTTAGTCAGCATGATTTAAAAATTATTTCCATATGTCTGAATTCAATTTGGTTTTCAAATTATATTCTATTCCTTTGTATGAGCGTTCTGTCAAAGTGCTTAATGGTGGGTGGTATCTCATCTTAGCAAACAAATAATTTTGGATAGGGGCGAGGGTAATTCCAGCAAAATTCTTTCCTCAGACATGTGCACACAATTCTCACTTGAATTTAGTAAAGCTTGCATACATGTTTCCAAAGTAGGATTTGGCTAGCGGGTTTTTTTTTTTTTTCTTCCAACAACCCTCACAGCCTTGAGCTCACTGTCAGGGAGTGTTTGCATTTGCTGATCAGCATTTCCACATCTGCTTAGTATTTCCTTTCAGATGCTTTGCCCATCTGAGCACATGACAGTCCTCTCACCATGGTCCATCCCTCCCGGCAACTTGAACCTTGGCAAGAAACACTTCCACTCAGAGGTGGGCACTGGCAAACACAAAAGCCCACGTTCTCCTAATTATCTCTCAGGTGATGGTTTGACATAATTGTGAATGAGTATTGAGAGAGAAGAAAATAAAGCAGGGGGGGGTTTTCTTCCTTGTTTTTTTCTTTAAAGGTTCCAGACAAGTATTTCACCATTCTACTGGATTATCTGCAAGGGCTTCAAGGCGGTGCACGAGACATAACTGTGCAGAAAGCTGAAGCTTTTATGAAGGAATTTGATGGTTCCAACGCAGAAGACCCAAACCTGCTGGAGAAGTGCGAGCGCATACGACAAGTTCTGCAACTGCTGTCCTGAGGGTATTTTTGTGTCTTAATGGTTGTCTGGTGGAGAGAAGGATAGGATGTGTTATACAGAGACTATAAATTAGTTGTAAAGACATATTTTCTAATAAGAATCCTAATACTAAATTTTCAGATTTTGTACTCATAATTGTTTCCAATTGCAAAAATTTGTCATGTTTTGAGGTGATGAAATAAAAATACCATATTTGTATCATAGATGTGCTATTTTGATTAAAAGTAATCTTACTGCCTATCTTTAGAAAGATAAACCTCTCTTTCTTGTTAGTTTTTCTCCACCTCCCCATGTAATTACTGTTAAATAAGAGGAGCTTTGCAGGTCTTAATAAGAAGAGCAAAGGAACCAACAAAAAGCCTGGAGGGTCTTTTACAATGGCAGCTTTTAAAATGAGCGTACAGTACAGTGCTTGCTCAGCCAGCTGTAATCCATCACTTTCAGCTTTAGAAGTATGTCATTTGGATTTGGGAAGGACCATTTTCAGTCTGTTGAACACGAGTTGTATAACACAGTTGCTTATTAGTACTTCACACGGTGATCTGGAGATACCATCAGCTTTGTTAGTTTTCCTTTTATATTTTAAGGTTTTCAAATGCTTTATGCCAATTGTTTAGATATTCAGATAATGCACAGATGGGAACAGATCAAATCCTTTGACCATATGTAGTGAAATCATCTGATTGTACCTAAGCTTAGCCTGCAATGAGAAGTGCTGCGCTGCAACATTTTGTATCTAGCCTGCCAATATTGCATTTTCATCTTTCTCGTGTAATTGGCGTCCAAAAGAGTTAATTTGTATTCATTCACTTTGACGTGGGACATTTGTCTCCTATGAACGTGCTGAAAATGAGGCTTTCAAGTAAAAAACAAGGACATTCATTACTCAGAAGTTGGATGATCGGCTTATTTAATAACACTTGTGTTCAGACAGCACTCTTGACCTGATTCTTTAATGTTTCTGCAAACATTGTTCATACTTTATTAATAGCAACTGTATGAAATGTGTAGTGTTTTAGAAAAGTGTCTGTCTTTGGGAATTATGGCTTTAATTTGGATGGGTGAAGGAGGGGAGGATCTATGCATATGCAGGCCTGATTTTTCGATAAGAAGCATTTGAGTGGATTTGACAGCCTTCACAGTCATGGATTACTACAAATTGAGGTGAGCTGCCAATGGTTCGTCAGCAGCTCAGATGCTGGTCCTGTACCATGAGGTGACAGCTGGATGGGCAGAGGATGCATGCAGTGTCGAAGCCTTTCTGAGGCCCAAAACTGTATAAACTGAGCTTCCAGTGCAAAAGTTGGTGAAAAGGGTCCGTAATAAAAAGAAGTGATACTGACATTAAGTGAACTAGTGCAACGTCTTTGGATCTTATATTTTATGTCTGAGAATATGCAGCTGAGAAAAACTACTGTCACTCCAGGCAGAAGCTGATACTTTTTTCTTTCTATGAGAAAAATAAGAATTTTTCAGGGATGAAGTTTTCAGTGTCTTTTTCTGACTTGATGATTGCATTTTAGGTGTCAGAGAAGACTTCGTGTTCTCCCTCAGATATGTAAAAATCACCAGTTCTGATTTCGTATCACACAAAAATGTAGGTCCTCACTGTGCGCTTAATGTACCTTGTAGCTTAAAAGCACAAACACATTGCAACCATATTTTGGAAGAGACTTGTAAAAAGGATTCTAAAGGTAAGATCCGAGCAAAAAGATGTGAACCTTTGATGATTTTGACAGATTTGGCAAGATGTGCCTTTCTTGGTTCTGGCCATAAGCAAATGTTGACAAATCTGTGCGAAGAGAGGCTTTGTAGATCAAGAACGTAATTTTTCTTTTTATATTAATTAATATTAAAAGCACATAAGGCCTGCCAATCTGGAGTCCATGTGAACAATAACATTTGGAAAAGAACAGCTAGAGCCTCTCACCAGTACAGTAATAGTCCTCTGCGAGTGAGGTCCTGCTCTGCACTCCTCTTCCTCAGCTGCAGTTCCAACTTTCCCTTTAGTGCTACCAGTTACTTCAGTGAAGGACATGGTCTTTGGCCACTGCTTCTTGCAGCTGTGGAAAATCTAGAAGCTAAAAACTAAGGTAATTGTTGCTATGGTTTGCATTTGGTAGAGGAAGTGAAGTATGATGTTTTCTGCCACATCTCTTGGTGTATGGTACTGTTCAATGGTCAGTGGTGTCTGGAAATTGGGTAAAAGGCTTGTAAAACTTCTGCTTTGTATTGTTACTGTGTAAGTCTTGGGTTTCAAAGCTCAATATGAAATATTTTAAGTGTTGTCTTATAGTGCAAATAGGAAAGGACACTTAATTGCATTTTGTTTTTTTACTTTGCCCCTTTTCTTAAAGAATCTTCAACGGGTTGGCAAGCAAGTCACCTTCAAAACACCCATGAAATGCAAAAGCGAACACTTTTTTTGGAGATATGTATTGCTAGGCCCATTTTAAGATTGTGAGGACCCAGACAGCTTACCCAACAGAGCGTGCAAATGCAGTAACACCTCTGGCAATCAAATTCCGTATTTTCCATATGCTAGCTGCCAGGCCAGCTTCTGCTTCCTGCTCAGCTTGGCATTTTAATTTAGGGATTTACATTGTTTGATGAATAAGTGTAGCAAGATTTCCTCCGTCATGTATTTTGAATGATGTATTTTAAATTATTAAGTGTATAATCCATTACTGAATTGGCCAAAGCTGCACGGGAGATATAATCTGGCACTTCATTCACTTTGTTTTGTCATTTGGTCATGTAGAATTTTCAAATCTCAACATCGCTTGTGGCTTAGGCAACCGTATGGATACAGATAGGACGGAATCGTGTCTCTGCTTCCGTTTAAATCAGCCTGCTGTGTTAATAAAAATTGCGTCCAAGGCTAGGAGTAACAGTGTGTACAGACTGACAAATTACATCTTCGTCTGCCTACTCTAATTGTCTTCTAGTTGAGTTAATCTGTATTGTGTAGCTCTGGCTAGAAGAATTTGTATCCTAAGGGAATGCTGAAGTCAGGACTTCTAGGCAAAATAAAGGAACATTAATTACTTAGAATTGCTTAAAGCTGGAACTGTGCCTCTAATGGAAGTACTAATTACTCAAAATTTGACAATGTAAAAAGTTTCCTTTAATTTGGATGATCCTTGCTATGGGTTGTATATCTTCTTGGTTCTCTGCTGTCTGCCCACAATTTTAATTTGTTATCACCATTGTAAAATTACTGGGTAAATGAATTCTCTGTTCTTATTTGGAAACGGTGTATCATAGTTGTTGAATGTGGAGTTTATTTCCCTATTTCCTCTCACTGGAGAATAGCTCAGCTGTGTTTCTGTTGATTTTAAAGCAAGGTGGCTCTTGACTCATCTCCCATTCTTTCAAATACCTTAGAAATACACTGCTTTGCTTTGAGCTTGTGGGGTTTTTTGTTTGGTTTTTGGGGTTTTTTTTTTAAAAACTTTTGCCACTGAGTAAGGCAAAGTAATAAACATTAAAATCTACTTACATTGCTGCAAGTCAGTGTCAGAAAAAACAATCATAAAAGAGATTTAAGTTGCAAAGTCAAGCACTCAGAAAATTAGAAAACATAAGAATGGAAATTGTCTGTGTAATTTTAATTTTACTCCTTCATGCATATGTAGTATGATGCAACCTCTAACTATGTCATCAGTTCTGTATTTTCCATTGTGTATAACTGATAATACATTTATTCAGTGTTTTCCTTGCATTTCTGCTGCTATTCTCATTTTCAAAGTTCGGGTCTACAAAGTAGTACTGAAGCTAGAGAAATAACTTTGCTGTGTGGATTTGATCCTGCACACAAGTAGTAAGTAGGAACTTTCCTATTCATTTAGTATAGTAACTAGTCATAGATGTTTCATCACAAACGTTTCCTTTAAAACATGTTTTAATGTTCTGATTCATTTACAGTCAAAATACTGAATTGATGTTACTTAACTGAAATCCAGTTTTGTTGACATAAAACTTTCCAGTGGCTTATTCTGGTTTAGTCTTTGGTTTCCTTTTATGTCTTCCTTTCTGTACAGCTGAATGAGCTGGTTATTTCTGTCCCTGCAAATAGGAATATTAGTTGTTTACAGTGATTCCAGTCATACAAGGACACAACTAAATGTCCTTGCCTTTGCAGGACAAGCTCATTTTAGCAGTGATTTATAATTACGTTCTATTTTTTTTTTTAAATTCTTCATAAGAACATACATAGTCAACAACTTAATATGGTCAAAAATAATAATTTTTTTAAAATATGTTTTTTTCCAACAAGGAGCAGGGGATACCAAACTAAATGAAACTAATGAGTAAATGGTGGGGGAAGGGCAAAGCAAAACAGTGGTTTATCTTTCTTTGTCAAAACAAAGCTGAATAAGAAGCTTGTGCTACTAAGAAAGTTTGGCTGGTGTTACAGCCACAGAGGGAGAGCCCTTCAGTTAAAGACAGAAGAACAAGTCATACAGTTGCTCTTATTGATTCCCCGCCCCCCCCGCAGAAAATTTTTGTCATTCCCCAACAAAACCCACAAACACACCTACGTCAAAAAGTTAAATAGGTTTCAAAATCAAGTACTTAAAGGTCAAGAAATGCCACGTGTATATGAATGGCCAGAAGAATTCAAATTCTACCTCTCTGCGCCTCCAGCCTAGAGACTGAATGAAGGGGGATTGTGTTAGAAGCAAACAAGCAAAACCCCCTAAATTATGTGAGCACATAGTTAAAGATTACCAGTTACCCTTCTATTCATAGGAAGGCGGAATTACATTTCCTATTAGCTTTAGTTATTCAGATTTTAAAAACCCTTCTTTTAAAGAAGGTTTGCTGCTAATTGAAATATCAGGTAGCTTTTTGCTGTGACAACTTAAATCTATTCTCCTCGTGGTCCTACATGTATTTTATAAAATTGTAAGCCCTGGGACGCAGGATCTGTCACTCTGTTTTGCTTATAAGAAGCTCGACCTAGCTATGGCACTGTGAAAATCATCATTTGCTGT